GCACTCCCTGTCAGCACGGCTAACGGCGCCTTGTCTTTGGGGAAACCCTGCCTCTCTCACACTTCGCTCACCGCTGATTGCTCAAGTGTTGCTTTTTTTTTTTTTTTTTTTCTTGCTCCCTTGAAATTTTAATGTCTAAAACTCAGTAATGCAACCACCACAAGTGTATTCTGCAGAAGCTGTTTTGTTGCAGGAGGAAGGGGCCCTAGAATTTCCAGCCCACATTGACAGAAGAGGAAAGCTTCTGTATTCACTTTTAACTAAAAACAAAGCTGAACTGTTGCATTTTCACTAGGATATGTATGACTCGTAAGTGCTGACTCGGAGGTCTGCTCAGGTCTAGCACTTACGTCATATAATGTCACACTGGTAGCAGCTCCCTTCAGGAAGAGGGAGAGAAGCCCTCCGTACAGCATCAGGCGCCTTTGCTGCATTCCATACGCGAGCACGAGCTCCCCACACAGGAAGCGTCATCTGGCACCCAGAGTGCAACTCAGGTGTGAACCGAGTCCAGCATGGCCAGGGCTGAACCCACGGAGGGGCGGCGAAGGATTGAAGAAGACAGACAAGAGAATACAGTTGGGGCCAGATGGGACACTGGTCTTGTTTGGACTATAAAGTCAAGCTTACAACCATAGCCTTTTGGCTATAACAGTGCTGGGAGGGCTTTGCCACAAGTCAGTCTGAGGCTTGAACCTGTCCAAACGCTGTAGCTGCTCTGCACAAGGTGCCAGAAGATTAGGGTGTGGGAGCTGCTCTGGCTTAGAAACCGTTCACCCCTGGGGACCAGTCTCTCTTGTAATAGTTATCCGAGTTTATTAGATCTGCACACTCAGGTAAAGAGAGCCCAAGGGTATGGCTTCCTGGCAGGTGCTAGAGATTATTCATTCCTCTGCGGCCAGAAGCAGTTAACCAGCCAGAGGGCATTTGTGACACGTGTGACTGTGGAACACAGTTGACATTCCACCTTTGTCACGTTTCTATCAATAGAACAAGGCAGAAAGTCTACTCAAAGTGGGGTTTGTCTGTAGAGAAGATAGATGGGTTCATTAAACCTTTAACCACAGTAACTTAGCAAGATCTTCCAATATTTGGTGTCCAGGCTCAAGCATTTTTTCCAATGGATGTTGGATCAAAATGTTTAGACTCCAGTCTTAGAGAAATTTAGTTTCAGCTGGTTTTTATCTGATATACATGTCTTTCCAGAAGTATAATATGGTTACAAAGTATCTATGAGATTATTTCAGGTTTGTGAATTTACTTTTTTTCGAAGAATCCTCCTCAAAATCACCAGTGGAACTATTCTGGAAAATAACTTCTGAGGTAGAAGTTCCATCCTGGACAGATTAAAAAAGAAAAATAGGTGATTAGGTATGTAAGCCATTTTAAATCCGGGTATGTTAGTCCTGGCCAGTGCAGATCAGTTGGTTGGGCATTGTGCAGTACACCAGTGTTTCCCAAACTTTTGACATGTGTACCCCTTCTATAATTTTCGTCACTCTGAGTACCCCTCGTACTCATGAGAATGTAGAATTAGGTGCAGCGCATATCCCCATCAGACTCTGGTGCAACGCATACCCCCACCAAACTCTTCCCATACCCCTGGGGGTACGTGTACCACACTTTGGGAAACACTGCAGTACACCAAAAGGTCACCTGTTCAATTCCCAGTCAGAGCACATACCCAGGTTTTGGGTTAGATACCCTGCCAGAGGCAGCCAATGGATGTTTCTCAATCTGATGTTTGTCTTTTCTCTCTCTCCCCCTTACTTTCTCTCTCAAAATATCAATAATGATAAAAAAAAAATCTAGATGTGTTCATGTGTTTTGTGGTGGAACAGTTACTTGTCTTTGCTTGCCAAGCATATTGTTTATTTTTTTGCATCAATTACATGAAGTTGAATCACAGTAAATTGTTTATAAACGTTTATTTTTTATTTTCTTAGGTATTACATTATAAAACAAGGAATGTTTATTTTGTTCAAGCATTTTATTATGACAAATTTCAAACATATATAAAAGTTGAAAAAGTTTTAAAGTAAAAATTCTTTTGGCCATCAAGATTCTACCATTAACTTTTTTTTTGGGGGGGGGGAGGAGGGCACTGTATTCTATTTTCTGAAATTCCTTTAAATGTATCTGCCACCCAACTCAAAAGGGATGTATTGGATTTAGAACTGCTTGTCCATGATATATTCCTTCTTAATTGAATGTTTGAATAGGATTAGTTTTAAAAAGTTAAAATTTTTCCTTTAAAAATTGTTAATTTGTTGGAGTGACATTGGTTAATAAAAATTATCTAGGTTCCCAGTATACAATTCTATAATACATCATCTGTATTAGTATATTGGTGCCCACACCCAAAGTCAAATTTTCTTCCTTCATCATGTATTTGACTTCCTTCATCCTTTACTACTTCTCCACCCGCTTTCCCTCTGGTAACCACCATACTATTGGCTATGTTTGAGTTTTTATTTGTTCAACTAGAGGCCTGGTGCACGAAATTTGTGCATGAGGCAGGGGTGGGGTTGTCCTTCAGTCCAGATTTCACCCTCTCCAATCTGGGACATTCTTCTCACAATTCAGGACTGCTGGCTCTGAACTGCTTGCCTGCCTGCCTTCCTGATTGCCCCTAACCACTTCTGCCTTCCAGCCTGATCACCCCCTAGCCATCCCCTGCCAACCTGTTTGCCCCCAAAACTTTCCTTCTCTGCCGGCCTGGTAACACGTAACTGCCCTCCCCTGAAGGCTTGATCGCCCCCAACTGCCCTCCCTTGCATCTCTGGTGCCTCCTAACTGCCCTCCCCTGCTTGCCTGATTGCCCACAATTGTCCTCCCTTGCAGTCCTGGTCCCTCCCAACTGCCCTCTCCTGCTGGCCATCTTGTGTCCACATTGGGGCAGGATCTTTGACCACATGGGGGCAGCCATCTTGTGTGTTGGAGTGATGTTCAATATGCATATTACTCTTTTATTAGATAGGATAGAGGCCTGGTACATAGGTAGGGGCCAGCTGGTTTACCCTGAAGGGTATCCCGGATCAAGGTGTGGGTTCCCTTCCGGTGGCCTGGGCGAGAGGCCTGTGGTGGTTTGCAGGCTGGCCTTGACCCCTGGAGACCCAAGCAGAGGCCCTGGTATCTGGAATTTATTTACCTTCTACAATTGAAACTTTGTAGCCTGGAGTGGAGCCAAGCCTCCTGCTTGCTCTGTGGCTGGCAGCCATTTCTATTGGGACTTATGTACCTTCTATAATTGAAATTTTGTAGCCTTCAGCAGAGGCCGGGGCTGGCCAGGGTGTAAGGAAAGCTTTGCTTCTTCCATTCCAGGGTGTAAGGAAAGCTTTGCTTCTTCCATTGGGGAATCCTAGCCTGCTTTCTGCAACTCTGTGGCTGCTGCCATTTTTGTTTAGATTTGTTTACCTTCTATAACTGAAACTTTGTAGCCTTGAGTGGAGGCCTAGGCAGGCAAGAGCAGGAGGAAGGCTTGGCTTCTTCCGTTGCCCGGGAAACCCAAACCTCCCTCCTGCTCTCTGAGGCCATAGCCATCTTGGTTGGATTTATTTGCATACTCACTCTGATTGGCTGGTGAGTGTAGCAGAGTGATGGTTGATTTGCATATTACTCTTTTATTAGGTAGGATTGTTCATTCCATTCACACCTGATTACACTTGTTTCCTCACCTGCCCATCTCTCTATACATCCAGGAACCATTCTCCTGCAGGGACTGTTGCTATGGTTACGAGGTTGTTATTAACTGGGGTGAATACCTCCAGTTCATGCTTACCGATGCTGCCCATTCTCTCTAGTGTTGCCATCTTTCTAAAACACAAATCCTGCAACGCAACTTCTGTTCTTAAAACCGTTCTGTACTCCATAGCTTCAGAAAAAAATGTCTTCTGGCCCTTGCAGGCCTTCCCAACTTATCCGAACACTGCAGCCGCCACAGGATCTGCTTCCAGTTCTCAACCACACAAGCCACTGGGCATCTCTGGCCTCTGTTCAGTATTCTTTCTACGGAAAATGGCCCTTTCCTCTTCCCCTCTCCCCCAATGTTTGCAGCTTGTATTTGAAGATCCAGTTACATCCCTCCTCCTCGCCCCCAAAAGCTGACAACCAGACAGCCTTCAGTGGACGCCAGGTCCCACGCTGCTTTCGGCCTTCCCTGGTCACTGCCCAGCCCCCAACACCCTTCACTTCAGGCCACTTAGGACTGCCTCGTTTTATAAGCTTTTCGCTGCTCAGAAGTGCAGGCTCCGGCTCTTCTTTAAACCCCGCTACCTAAACGAGTCTCGGGCAGCACCCAGAGCTGGGCTTCCTGTACCGGGCACGCGCCCCTGCCAAGCAGGCCCTGGCAGCGCGCGCCCGGCGGCGGGCCCAGCCGTGCGCATGTGCGGGTCGGCGGCCCCGACGGCGGATCGAGCCCGAGACTGTGCGCTCCCTTGGGCGTCAGCGCGGCCAGTTACCCCGGCCCGGCTCCCCGCCTCACTGTTCAAACACAGACTCTAAACCCGGGCCTCAGTAGGTTGCGCCCGGCCTACCCGCTCTCGCCGGCCACAGATCCGCCTGCCGTAAAGCACGGCGCGGCAGCTGCTGCAAAGCGCTTACGACAGAACCTTCGACCAAAGTACGACCTGCAGCCGCTCCCGCCCCCGCTTCTAACATTTGGGTTTGTGAAGCGGAGCGGGGTGGCCGCCGGCCCGTTTTTGTTCGTATTCGGCCTCGGCCTCTCGTAGGAGGCCTCTGAGGGACCTACTCCCCCCCCACCCCCCCGCCGCGCCGCGCCGCGCCTTCCGGCCGCCATCCTCCCGGCGTGCACTGCGGCGGCGGCGAGGCGGCGGCCATGTTACGGTAGTTTGTTGTTTTCTCCCCGCGGAGGAGCAGGGCCAGCGACCGGACCCGCCTCGCTCGCCGCGTCCCCATTCCGGCCCGCCGGCCCCGGCCCCGGCCCCGGCTCGGCCCCCAGCTGGCGCGCGGGGCGAGGCGGAAGCGGGCGTCGCAGCAGCATGGCGGCCGCGCTGGGAACGGGCGGAGGAGCCGGCGCCGCAGGTACGTGAGCCGACGGTCCTGGACAGCAGCGCTGTGGTCACCGCGGGCCCCACAGTGCCGCGCCCGCAGGAGCGCAGGCCCCGGGGCGGGCGAGGGCCGGCCTGTCCCGGGAGGCGAGGGGTCGCGGGTAGGTGTGGAGCCCCGAACGGGCGCGGTGCTGGCGGGTCCACTCTCGAGACGCGGCGCTCGCGAAGGTCACCTCAGCGCGTGTTTCCCGCGGACCCTCGCGGTGCGGCGGAAACCTGTTAGCGGTTTGCGTGGCGCCGCGCCCGGAGGGAGGGCCCGTGCGGACCCCGGGCCGCGCGTCTCTCGGCGGCGGAAGTGCCTGACGCGACCTCACACCTCGGAAAGCCACCTTCTGGCGAATCACATTTTGTTGCTTGGGAGGTTTTGTGTTTGTTTTTTTTTAATACGGAACAAGCCTTTGGGGAGACTTTTAGGGCTAATAGGAAGTTTGACAGCAGCGTTCGGGAGGCGCGGTCGTCATGGAAACTAACACCCACTCGTGTCGAATTCAGAGCCTCTTTCAGCCGTGTCACTTCACCCGCCTGGAGTTTTGTCCGAAATGTCAAAACATTTGGCGATGTGATCTGCAGTTTGCCACTTTGATGTCTTTTTCTTTTTCTTTTTCGTGTTCGATCTTTCCAATTGAACTTTGAAATACAGGGTTTACCTTCCGGCGACCTTCTGGGGCTCAGAATGGTGTATTTGCTGTCATTCTCCGGGTGCGGTCTGAGAGCATCCAGTCAGTACGTTTTCTTTAGGTGCCATTGTCCCACGTTTCTTGTTTTTGACGGCGCCTTGGTGAATGACAGTGAATGTAATCCACAGATGGAAAGCTCTCGTAAGCTCGACCCCAGAGTTTCCGCACTTCCCGCCCCGCCCCCGCCCCTGCTGGAGCTTTCGCTCTGTGTCAAGTATGCCCACCTCCTGCTCCTGTGCTTTCTTCCCCACTGTGCTCTGGCTCCTGGGTTTTCTTCGGACATTTACTCCGTTTTACAATGCTACGTAGTTATTATTATTATTTTCAATAATCTCCCTTTCCTCGCAGTCTGTGAGCCCCACAAGGACCTGTTAGGAGCCCTGTGTTTCATGGCTCTGTGGGGGCTGTCTGTTGAGCTTTGCCACGTGGTGGATGAATTGGAGAATGAATGTTTTCTTTACGAGCCCTTTTTGCTTTCTGGGTACATTTACAGCGCTGTGGTCTCACAGTAAGGCTGGAACCAGGTAGCATTCTGCTGCCCCTTTGTCCATTTAAGGGTTAGGCTCTGCGAGTTTTGGGAGTCTACAGTAGGTGAGCACTGTTTGGACCCACTATTGTTTAACCATTTCAGTCTTTATACTTTTTCACTGCTTTAGAAAACACTGCACCAAACATCTATAGACACGTCTTGGTGTGCTTAAACCAATATTTCTGGCGGATAGATACTGCTTTAAATGGAAATTACATATGTTTACAATTTTGATAGCTATTGCTAAGTTTTCCTGAAAAAGGTTGGTACCATTAGTAATGTATGAGATTACCCCATTTTCCGTACACTTTCTAAGAGTTTATTATATATTTTTTAATCTTGAGGCAGAAAAATAGCTTCAGTGTTGTAGCTTATATTTCTTTTTGTCTCTAGTGAAAGTATGTTTTCATACATTGTATTTATTTTTCTGCATGCTTGTATCATTTGTATTTTTTAATTGAGTGGTTGATCTTTCTCATTGTTATAAAGAAATTTTTTGTATATTTTTAATGATTTTTTTCCGTAATGGTGTCGTCATACCAAGAGTTCCTGTATGCTTTAGTTTTTTTATGCTCCTTTGCTTTATAATTATTACCATTTTTATTTATTTATTAAAATATATTTTATTGATTTTTGTACAGAGAGGAAGGGAAAGATAAAGTTAGAAACATGGATGAGAGAGAGTCTTCGATCAGCTGCCTCTTGCACACCCCCTACTAGGGATATTTCTGCAACCAGGGTACATGCCCTTTACCGCGATAGAACCTGGGACCCTTCAGTTCCCAAGCCAACGCTCTATCCATTGAGCCAAACCGGTTTCGGCAATTATTACTTGAGGTGATGGATGAGGCCCCTTCTTTCATCTTGCAATGTAATGTATTGATTTTCAATGTTGAACCAACCCTGCATTCTTGGCTTCAAAACCTTTTTCTGCATATTTTATCCTTTTACTGTATTTTTGATTTTACTTTAGGATTCACTTATGATGGTAAAAGATTGTTATAGTTGTCTTCCTTTGTATTTGTGCACATGTGCTATCCTGTTTTTTACAAGATAAGTGGCTTCCTGGAATAAGTTGTAAAGCTTTCTGGGGCTGTGTAAAAATCTCTTTATTGAATGTTGAAAGAACTGGAGTCTGCAAAGCCAATTTGGTCTGGTGCCTCTTTAAGTTACTTTTCAGTCCCTTCTATCATTGGTCAGTTTAGTTTTTTACATTCACTGGTCATTCTGATAAATTTTTCTGGAAAAATTATTCTTTGTTATATATTTTCAAATTAGCATAAAATTAAACACTCAGCTTTCTAAGAATGGGTGTGTTGAAGGTAAATTTTTTGAGATCCATGTGTTATGAACAAATTCTAACCTTTTCAGTTGAATGATGATAGATCTAGAGCTGTAGATTTGAATGCATTTTCCTTAGAATTTTGGTTGTATTGTCTTCCAGTTCTGCTCTTGAAAATTTCTGATGATGTTTTTCGTTTCCTCTCATGTTCCAAAATGTCAATGGCATAGGTCTTTTGTCTATATTGTGCCATGCATTTAATAGACACTTTAGTCTGGAAACAAGCATCCTTTAATTCAGTTCTGCGGAATTTTCTTATTGTTTTTCTGCTTTTCATTTCCTCTGTTCTTAACCTTCTGAAACTCTTACTATTGAATTTTGACTTCGTTTATTTAAAAAACATACAAGAATAGTGAGACAGTTCCTTGAGATTGTTTTGGTACCTTGGTAGTTGATAAAGTCAAGCAAAAGACAGGACAACAAAGACTGGAGAAAGGAGGCACCCACGGTCTTTTCTCCCAGGCAGGCTCTGTGGTGCCACTCCTTCATGAGTTATATTTCATATGAATGTAAGCATCTTCTTTCTGTTTGGCCAAATGCTGTACATCTTCACTTGATTTAGTTGTGGCAAATTTGAGTCTACTATTCTAGATATTTTGATATTTTCTTTTTTGAGAGAAAATGGAATTCTATACTTACATATAGTTCTATTTTTAAAATATTGTCAATTAAGTTGATTACTTAAAATAAAAAAAAAACGTAATTCAAAGACAGCATGTGTCTTGTGGGCCACCAGGCTGCCTATCCGTTAGAATAATTCTGCCTGCATGATTTAGTGGGTACCATGGGTGAGTGATCTTCCTACCTACGCTCAAGGAAGGCCTGGCTGCCCTATGATATTTCGATTTAGGAAATCAGGCTGTGTTTCTCAGGTTGCTTGTTAAATAAGTTCAAGAGCTCAGTACTTGGTAGACCTGAGTTGAAATCAATTATTTACTAACTGGTTAGTCTTAGTTTTCACATCTGTAAAAGGAGGATTTGGGATGGATTAAGCAAATATGAAAATGCTAGCTTGCTGGAGGAGAATGGACCTGTGTGGAGCTCTGCAATAGTGCTGGCTTATTTGACACTACAGAAGCTGTGCTATATCTTCCAGGTATGGAGGGTTTTAATACAGGAATCAGAACTCTTACAACTCTTGGCAGGGCTGGAGGTGCAGTGCTCAGGAAGCCTTCTCTGTTTCTGTCAGTCTGAAAAGAGGACCTTGCCTGGAAGCCCTGTGACTGAGGACAGGGGAGAGCTCCTAGGCCAGCTCAGTCTGCAGCACTGGAGGAGCCGACCTTTGATGCTATTGAGACTTGAGAAGCCACCGCTATGGCAGCTCCTAAAAGCCCAGGTGAAGCACATGGTTTCCAAGAGCTCACTGACCTCTGAGAACCTGTTGTCGCCTGTGTGTGCCCTGCCCCTGCCTCCTGAAAACAGCTGTGATGATTGTGACTCAAGCCTCCTATTAGTGCCTTACTTTGCATACTGTAACTCAGGGACAGCAGGGAAGGCCTCTAGGAAGTGCTTTGCTGACATTCTCCTCTGCACTTATGGAGAGCCCAGTGCCTACAGCATGCAACACAGTCACTCTGTGGGAGAAAGGAAGATTGCAGAAGGGCTCTGTTCCTTTCTTTGACATTTCTTTAATGCAGTGGCTGGTCCTTTAGAAGGATTCATTTTTATATTATTATACTAGAGGCCTGTGTTGCATGAAGATTCGTGCAATGGGCCTGCCTTCCCTCGGCTGCCAGCACCAGTTTTCCTCCAACACCCGGGACCTAGGCCTTTGCTCTGGCTGCCGCTTTCCGTCTTCACTCCGGCCAGTGCCTTCAGTGTTTGCTCTGGACAGGGCTTTCAGGCTTCTCTGCTTCTGCTGGAGGACTGCTCCTGTAGCTCCCTCTACCCTTCCCTACCCTCCCCCTCATAATAGGTGTTCTACCCTGCCTGGCCACTCTGTGCCTATGTATGCAAATTAACCAGCCATCTTTGGTGGGGGTAATTTGCATACTCCTGATGGGCTGGTGGGCGTTGTGGAGTCATGGCCAATTTGCATATTTCTCTTTTCTTAGTTTAGATATTTTTATTGATTTCAGAGAGGCAGGGAGAGGAAGAAAGAGAAACATCAGTGATGAGAGAGAATCATTTATCAGCTACCTCAGCCATCCCCTACTGGGGATCAAGCCCACAACCCGGGCATGTGCCCTTTACCAGAATTGAATCTGGGACCCTTTAGTCCCCAGGCTGAAGCTTTGTCCACTGAGCCAAACCAGCTAGTACTAGAAGGATTAATTTTTAAAAAAGAGGGATGGGTGTCATTTCCTCTAGATTCTAAGTCATGATGGGAACATCCAGCTGGCCAAGCTCAGACTACTAGTCCTCTTCCAGGCCACCAAGGATGATTGAGACCTCAGGAGTCTGGTTTTGATAACTTACATGTTGGG